ATTTATCTCCTCTTTAAAAATAAATTTTGTTCTGAAAAATTGTGTTTGAAGGGCAGATAAATTTTAAAACCAAGTTGAGAAAACGGCGATAATTTTCTTTTAACTACAACATCCTAGTTTAGCACTTCCCTAACTCAAAATTTGAGTTGATCTAACACACAATTAATATTGAAATTTAGGTGTACATAGAAAAAATTTTACATTATGCTGTTTTTTTTTGTTTGATTTTTTTTTTGTTTTTTGTTTTTTGTTTTTTTTTTTTGTTAGAGTACTTGATCTAGATTTTGTCTTTGTTTTACGCAAAATGATGATGTTCAGTTTATTTTTGAGGTATACTCGACACGAAGACACATACATAGCATACATAACTATAAGGTTTGAAGTATAGATATTTGTTTGGGTTTTGAAATGTATCCAAAGGGTTTAATTTTTACAAACTAAATATATTAAGTTTTTTAGCCATGAATATTTTTGTTTTAATTAATATGGTATATATTCTTTTATTTTTTTTTTTGCTTCATAAACACCAAACATTAAATTTTTTAATATTTTCCTTTTTCCTATGTTAAATACGTTTTAAGTGAATATACAACACATACATAAATTCCCGTTATGCATGCATGCAAATGTATATATGTTTGTAAGTAAGTATATATGTATGTATGTATGTGCATTGGTATATAAATCTGGGCCGAAATGCTTACATACAACTTATTTATTTAAACACCGAGATATATATTTTTTTGCAGCATAATTAAAAAACAATAAAGTAAGGTGCGTTGTGTGTGTGTGTGTGTGTTTGGGCTAGGAGATGCTTACAGCCACGTTCATAAAAGATAAAACAGTTTAAAAATTATTTTTAAATCGAAAACAATTTTTCTAAGCTTTTTGAATCTGTTTTATTTTTTAGAAAAAACGCCTTTAATGTTTTCTTTATACAATTTTTGGCAAAAGAAAAAAATCTTAGTACGTTTCAGCATAATGTAATTCAAAATTATCGGCGTTAAATTTTTTTCGGTTTAAAATTTTTTAGCATTTTAGCTTTTTACAATTTTAATATTCCCTTTGATTAATTTTGTTTATCTTTTAGTTTTTGTTGTTTTTTTTTGTTTGTAAATGTGAAGGCAGCTTTGTTTATTGATTTCCGTTTTGAGGATTTCTGAAGTGTTCTAATTATTATAATTTTATGATATTTTACTTTTGATACTTTTATTGTATACTTTTTGATAAAGAAAATTTTTAAAACACATATCTATGAGATATATGTACATGTAAAAGAAACAAAAGTTCGACTTTTGAAAACCAAAACTTTTCTAAGTGATAATTTGCGTTTTTTTTTTTTTTTTAATTTTTTTTTTGGTTGAGTTGGCGTATGGTATAGTCTATTGTTGTTGTTGTTGTTGTATCTGCGTTGTTGATCTGCACTGGATTATCTTGTCTATTGTGATCGTTTGCTCAGTTCAGTTGTATTTATGTAGCTATTGCACGTAATGAAAATTCCAAATGGTTTGTAATTTGAAAAGTATTTCGAAGACTCCATTGTCTCCTACGAGTACATAGACCCGTCTGCTAAAACTCTTAGATTTAGCAAAATTGTATGTCTGATTGAATTTCAGTCAAAAGTAGATGGGCTCCACAAATAATTTTTGTTAATTAATGATTTGGGCCGTCACAGTTTCAATGCGTTCTAGAAGGAAGGCTAGTAGATAATAAGGTATCATAATCTGAATTTTATAAATGCCTCGAATCAAACTCAGAAGACATGCGATAGAGAAAATGTCTTTCTACAGGAATAGTCCAGCAACTCGCGATTGCCCTGAGTCACATTGAAAACAGTCTTGAGACACTAGAACATATAATGGATCTCACATCTTGGATGCGGAAAATAGAGAAGGCTGGCAACCTCATGTATACAAGTGCAAAGGATGCAATGAATCCTATGCCTACATACTGCGGGAGCAGTTCGCTCCCTGCCCCAAGCGGCATGGAAGGAACTTATAGACATTCCACCTATAGAAAATAATGTGGAAAGCACCACATCTAAGAGGGCTTTGAAAATTAGGCCATCCTACAGGCTGCAAAGAACCGGAAGTACTGAAGTTGAGATTATCAGGCCACGGAAATTGACTTTGTCCGCCACTTCGAGATCATATTACATCCAGGTAGTATACTGGGTCCCTGGAACTGGGCGAGAGACGAATGCTCGAGAAAAATATCAGATCTATAATCTAATATTCGACTTCTCACCAAAATACTAAAGGAACAGTGACCCATTGCCACTCTAAAGCAAGCGCATCAAATTTCGGGGGCCACTCCTTTGAGTTATGTGATAGCTCAGCTGGCCAATTAGTATGGTTTAAGCCCATGCCATTCTTTGTGACTGTCCGGCCTTTGATAGACAATGACTAACTTATTTGCAAAGCTCCAATGGTCAAACCTTTGGGATTCATTAAAGAGGCCGAGGGTGTCTTGGACAAACTGGGTTAGAGGCTCTCTTTATAGATACCAAATACCTTTCAGGTTCATATATATCCGTGCCTTTACTACATGTGGAGCTGCGAGGTCGCCGAATAAACTTGTTAACTAGCTAACCTGCTGGACACGAAATTTATTTAAATGAAAGGCACTGAAGATGTCTTAGATGTCTCTGTAGGAGGCTCCGTTCAAACTTAATGAGTCTTCCTTTCTTACACAAACCAAGTTGGAATATCATTACGATTTTTTTTATTGTATTTTTTTGTAGAATTGGCTGTATGTAGTAGTTGTTGTTGCTGTTGTTGTTGTTCCATCTATTATTGTTTCTTCTATCTGTTGTTTCTGCTACTGCTGCTGCTGCTGCTGCCGCTGCTAGTATTGTTGCTCTGTTTGGTTATTGCTGCGTGTTATTGGCTGTTATTGTTGTTGTTGATATTGTTTTTGTTGCTGCTGATTTTTGTTATTGCTTTATTGGCTGGTAGGTTTTGTAGCTGTTGACTGATCGTTTATTGTATTTATTTTGTTTTGGTTGCTTGCTTTGCTGTTATTGCTGTTGTTGGTATTATTGTTTTTGCATTTTGTCATTTGTGGTTTGGTTGAACAAGCCAAGCTATTTATTTTGTTGTTGTATGCTCATTTGGTCTATTATTGTATGCTTTTCGAAATACGTTTTGGTTAATACAAAAAATGGACTTTTTCGAAAATCAAAAAAAAATCCAAAAAAAAACGAACGATCCAAAAATTTGCAAGTTTTCTGTAAAGTTTCTGAATTGATTTCTCATCTATTACTCTTTCTAATGATTGGTTGCTTTATAACTAATAGCTTATTAGAGTAGAGTCATTTTGCGTTGTTTTTTTTTATTTTGTTCGCTTGTTTATTGTTAGATTTTTGTGAATTTATTTTGTATTAAAATTTTCGGTTTGCCACTTGTTATTATACTTTATGTTTGTTTGCTTGTATGTAGTTAGATTCATTTGTTGGTTTGTACAAGAAGAGCCTATTTGTCGATTGTCAGAAAACGAAACAGAAAGTGTTTATTTGTTTTAAATGTTTTTTGTTGTACCTCCTTTTTACCATGGATACCCACCCGCCTTGTTGCACATATCAATGATAAATTATCCAGGTTTTTTCTTTAGACGCTTAGTTTTTTGTTTTTTGTTTTTATTTATTTATTGTTATGTTGTATATTTATTTAGTTACCTATTATATTTTGGGTGTGTTTTTTTTTGTAGTTTTCGCTTTTATTTTATGCATGTATGTATGTGTGTGTGTGTATGTATAACAGCTTGTTCACATATACATATATAATTTTCGTATCCCTTTTACGCTGCATTAGCCCTTATACGTTTTTGTTTTTGGTTTTTCTCCTTCACTATTCTACAAGTCGAAACTTTGCTTTGATTTTGTGTTGTTGTTGTTGTAGTTTTTCCACTTTTCTTACTAATAATAAAGACAGACATGCTCTTCTGGCTAAATGCACACATACATATACGTATTACAGTTATTGTATGTATATATGTATCTATTAAATAAAATTTGTTTTCTCGCTTCACTTTTGTCTGTACACTGTACACTGTACACTGTACACTGTACAGTACAAACATTCTATTCATACACAAATCCTCGACTTGGACTGCCTGTCTTCATTGTCGTTTCCTAGTTTTCTTCTTTATCTGTGTGTGTGTGTGTGTGTNAAAACGAAACAGAAAGTGTTTATTTGTTTTAAATGTTTTTTGTTGTACCTCCTTTTTACCATGGATACCCACCCGCCTTGTTGCACATATCAATGATAAATTATCCAGGTTTTTTCTTTAGACGCTTAGTTTTTTGTTTTTTTGGTTTTTATTTATTTATTGTTATGTTGTATATTTATTTAGTTACCTATTATATTTTGGGTGTGTTTTTTTTTTGTAGTTTTCGCTTTTATTTTATGCATGTATGTATGTGTGTGTGTATGTATAACAGCTTGTTCACATATACATATATAATTTTCGTATCCCTTTTACGCTGCATTAGCCCTTATACGTTTTTGTTTTTGGTTTTTCTCCTTCACTATTCTACAAGTCGAAACTTTGCTTTGATTTTGTGTTGTTGTTGTTGTAGTTTTTCCACTTTTCTTACTAATAATAAAGACAGACATGCTCTTCTGGCTAAATGCACACATACATATACGTATTACAGTTATTGTATGTATATATGTATCTATTAAATAAAATTTGTTTTCTCGCTTCACTTTTGTCTGTACACTGTACAGTACAAACATTCTATTCATACACAAATCCTCGACTTGGACTGCCTGTCTTCATTGTCGTTTCCTAGTTTTCTTCTTTATCTGTGTGTGTGTGTGTGTGTTTTTGCTGTTGTGTGAGTGTTTACAAGTATTTATGTGCCTAAGTATGTATTCTCGAATACATAATTTCTTATATATGTATGTATGTATATTACCGTTATATATATGTAATTGTATATACTAAGTGAATGTACATAAGTTGCTTGAAGTAAACTAAGAGTTTAAATTCCTCANATATCCCTTTTACGCTGCATTAGCCCTTATACGTTTTTGTTTTTGGTTTTTCTCCTTCACTATTCTACAAGTCGAAACTTTGCTTTGATTTTTGTTGTTGTTGTAGTTTTTCCACTTTTCTTACTTATATTTAATAAAGACAGACATGCTCTTCTGGCTAAATGCACACATACATATACGTATTACAGTTATTGTATGTATATATGTATCTATTAAATAAAATTTGTTTTCTCGCTTCACTTTTGTCTGTACACTGTACACTGTACACTGTACACTGTACAGTACAAACATTCTATTCATACACAAATCCTCGACTTGGACTGCCTGTCTTCATTGTCGTTTCCTAGTTTTCTTCTTTATCTGTGTGTGTGTGTGTGTGTGTGTTTTTGCTGTTGTGTAAGTGTTTACAAGTATTTATGTGCCTAAGTATGTATTCTCGAATACATAATTTCTTATATATGTATGTATGTATATTACCGTTATATATATGTAATTGTATATACTAAGTGAATGTACATAAGTTGCTTGAAGTAAACTAAGAGTTTAAATTCCTCACTTAAATTTTGACTAAACATGTGTTTTGAACCGTTTACCGTTTACCGTTTACTATTTACGGATTACCGTTTACCGTTTACCGATCGGCGATCTTTGATCGCAGATCACTCTTATCACCTTACATAGTGCCACAAGTGTGTATTTGTGTTCGTGTTTGCCCAACAGCTCTAACAGCGTTCCATGCCCGCAGGTTCACTTTGTCCTGTTGCGCTCTCATTGCTGCCCATCTGCTAATGAGTTTAGGTAGTATTTCGCTTTTGCTGGTGTGGCGCTCCACAGCCATGCGCCTGTTCAGCCATGCTTGCGTATCCAACTAAATAGTGAGCCTACATGCGGCGCCTTCACTACATCTCTCCGCATTGGCGCTTGTTACTCCCTCATCAAAGCGCCAAGTCGCCAAGTTGCTCACCTCTATAAGTTCTCTTCGTTTTCCTGTTCTGCCTTGATTTGCGCTAACTTCTCCTGCAGTATTGAGGTGCCACCCAACGTAGGTCCGCCCGCACGTCCTAAATTCATAAGTGGCTCCACGTTCGGCATCAGCGCGCTTACGCCCGCATTACATCCACTGCCATTCAGATCGGCCACTAGCTTGCTGCTACTGCTGTTGTTGTGATTTGGCATGAGATCGCTTGGTATGCTGCTGGTGTCGGTTTCGGCGGAATCATGTGACGTTAGTCGGCTTCGGCTACGACTGCGATGCTGTTGCTGCTGCTGGTGCTGGTGCTGGTGGTGTAGGTGTTGATGCTGCAGCTGCAGCTCGTTTGTGGCGCTGAAACTACCTTTATTGTTGTTGTTGTGCTCGTAGCTCACATCGTCGGTGCCGCTGCGCGAGGCGTCGTCGTCATCATCGTCACCGCCGCTGCTGTGTTGTGGACTACCGCGTTCGCGTTTGATTTCGGTGTAGGCGAGCGGGCTGCCGCCGCGTTTAGCACCTATGCTCATGAGATGATCGCTGGTATTGTTGCTGCTGCTGACGTATGGAGGCAGGCCGCTTTTCTTAATGAGCAATTGGTCTAGCAGTGCGCCGCCGGCGCCAGCGCTGGTACTGGGTGGCGGTCCAACGTCGGTGCTCTTGCGATCGAGCGTCTTNCTGACGTATGGAGGCAGGCCGCTTTTCTTAATGAGCAATTGGTCTAGCAGTGCGCCGCCGGCGCCAGCACTGGTACTGGGTGGCGGTCCAACGTCGGTGCTCTTGCGATCGAGCGTCTTGCGTATGATGCCATCGAGTATTGAGGAACCATTGGCGCCGCCACCCTCATACAAATTCTCAGCGATCTCGCGCGCGCTCTTCATATTCAGCGCATGACCAGCCGCAGCAGAGAGCGGGCTGGCGATAGGACTGGGGCTGTTAGCATTCGAGGGCGTCCCTGCTGATGCGCTAACTCGTAACGCTTCTTCGGTGTAGCGCTGAGCTGCGTTTTGCGCCGCCACTGTGTTGCGGTTGAACTCCATGTGCATTGGGTTGAATGCTGGCGTGTGATTCCAAAACAGATGTCCCGGGTATTGCATGGGATCGAAGATGGGAAGTTTCATGCCATTTGGCGCAGTGGTGGGGAAGGCCGCCGCTGCCGAGTTGCTGTTACCCTTAAGTGTTTCGTTGAGCTTGGCATTCGAGCCGCTCGCGCCGCCCAGCTTGATTTTACTGAGATTGTTATGGTGACCAGGAATGTTGGAGTTGGACTTGCCCGATGTCGAGCTGCTGCTGCCATCCAGACCGGGCTGGGGCTTGGGCTCCCGCTTGCGCGGTCGCATCAGATGCCGCTCCTTCACTTTGTACTCGAGCGTCGAATGCGGTACGCCGAAGTAGCTACCTGCACGATGCACCGACATTTCCCCGCGTTGCACTGCGCGCACTGCCTCGATTAAGCTATCGCGGTCATAGTTGCGGTACTTGCCGCGCTTGGGTCGCGTACCTTTGCCGGCGGCAAGCGCTGCTGCTTCCTGACGGCTAAGGTGGTGCGAATGATGGTGATGTGCATTATGTAGGTGCGTTTGATGGTACGCGTGCGAGTTGTGTGCGCTGGGAACGGTGCCTGCCGCGCCTGCACTGACAGCCGCTAACAAATTGGGGGCGGCGCCAAAGCGAGTGGTATCCGTACCGCCTATATTCTTCACCACCGAAATTGTAGGTTTCTTGTAATCGCCACTGCCGCCGCTATTGTTGTTGCTCGAGCGTTCCATGTCCAGGCACAGGCCGAGCATCGGCGCTGAAGCGGCGGCGACTGCAGCTGCTGCCGCATGCGCCTCCTGGTTGGCCTGTTCATTCATGGTGCGGTGAATGCCTCGCGCGATTACATCTCGAAAGCTGAACGACGGAGGTGATTGGCGGTGTTGCAGCAGCGGGGGTGAAATCACTGAGAGATCATTACCCTGGCGCCCGACAGAGGTCGAGCTGCCATTGTTGCTTACGGCTGCCACCGCGGCAGCCAGCATTGAGCTGGCGATGCGTGGTGAGGGCGCGGAGTGCGGACTGTCGCCATTGGGATTTGGCATTGAGTTGGCGTTGGAGTTGTTGCACAGTAAAGGTGGCGAGCAGGTGGAGCGTGCGACACCTGATGTCGGCGTGGGTGTGTTTGCCGCAGGTTTATAGGACGGAATCTTGAGAATCGACGAAGCCAGGTCNGGCCAGCATTGAGCTGGCGATGCGCGGTGAGGGCGCGGAGTGCGGACTGTCGCCATTGGGATTTGGCATTGAGTTGGCGTTGGAGTTGTTGCACAGCAAAGGTGGCGAGCAGGTGGAGCGTGCGACACCTGATGACGGCGTGGGTGTATTTGCCGCAGGTTTATAGGACGGAATCTTGAGAATCGACGAAGCCAGGTCCTCACCAATTGGTTCGTGCGTGTCAATCGAACCCGTCGTTTCTGGAGTATCTGATTTGGGCAAGCGTTGCGCAGCGTATACCGCGGAGTGCTGCTGCAACTTATGCGTCGACAGTGGCAGATCCATTATGTTGGGTTTACCGTTATTAATGAGTCCCTCCACATTCAAATCGCCGGCTGTGTGTGCTTCCAGCATATCCTTCAGATTGGCGACGAGATCACGCAGGGTAACAGGTTGATCTGCGCGCTGCTGTAAAGCGCCGAAGCTGGTAAGCGTGAATAAAAACGCCTGCAAAATGGCAAACGTTGTATCCAGACCTGCCTGCGGTGATTGTTGCGGCTGCGGCGTGGCGCTGCTCGAAGGTGTGCCAGAGTCACGCTTGGCGGCGGCATCAACGTACAGGGCGTTTGACTTGGGCGACAACGAAGGAGCGCAGTTTGTCGCGTCACTGTCCGCATCATGTCTCGCTGACGCGTCACTATTGCCAGTATTTATGCATAGTTTGCGCAATGATTGCGTCGCGCTTAGACGGCTGGCGAGCTCTTGTAGAGCGGAATGTGTGGCGGGTTCTGATGGTTGCGGTGTTGAGGCGTTGCTTCCATGTCCACCGGCCATGAGCGAACTGCCATCAGCAGCGCTATATTCATCGCCTGACAAATCCTTGTCCATTTCCAGGCCTTGCAATAGAGCGTTGGTTAGGTGGGCGTTGGCGCGTTTGCCACCCATCGCAAGGCGTGTTGGTCTTGTGCGACTGGTCGTCGACGACGTGCTGCTGCTGCTGAATTGGCCCGCCGGTTTGCGGATACTTGCGCTGTATTTACCACTGAGTAGATCTTGAACGGCGCTGCTTAGCGCGTCATCGGTGTAGGGGTGGCGTGCAGAGAGTGTGGGCGTGGTCCGTGGTGTTTTCGATCTGAAAGCAGAGGGGAATTATTTAGATAGGCAGCATCATTGGAAATAGGAGATAAAAGAATAATAAAAATTGGAAAGTCCGGCAATACTACCAATTTCGACGAAAAGACGGTAGCATGAGAAAAATCGTACATATAAGATTTCATGAATTCATGAATTTAAATATTTAATTAAAATTCACCGAATCATTCTGTATACCTCCCTGTCATAATTGCAATTCTCAACTACTTCTGAAATGCTCGAAATTCGTTCCGCGTTTAAGCAAAACGCCTACAACCGCATTTACTTTTCATATTTTTTTGTTTTGCTAAAATTACAACAAATTTAAATATATTACAAAAGTTTATCAATTTATGACGAATCAAATAAAAATAAATTACACAAAACCAAATTGGCACACTGAACCTTCATTGTCCAATCACTTATCAGCGCAATGCAATGCAGCGCAACAACAAAAACAAAGGAAAGGCGAATTTCGTAAATTATATTTGTACATACATACATATGTATGTATGTGTGTATGTGTGTATGGTTTGTGCAAAAGTACGCGCACAATACATAACAACAATGATAAGGACAACAACAGCTACATTGCAGATATTTGGAAATAAATTTAGCTCAATCGACTGCAGAGAATATACATACATACATACATAAACGGAAGCGCATTTGCACGCTTTGATGAAGTGGGTTACGTAATGCGCTTCGATTGTACTTAAAATGACACAACAAAGGCGAAGATTTCGATATTATATGCATGTATATACACATATGTACACAGAGTGTTTAAACAATGGTAATCTTATCGGATATTGATAAAAAAAAAAAGTTCCTTCTTACCAAATAATTTGTTGGATTTATGAAATGAAAATATACATACATACCTATGAATAAGTACATGCAACGCCTTGATGCAATCATTACTCAAAAGTGAAGAAATGCGTAATTTGGTAAGCCCTATGCCATTCCGCGCATACTAATGATTCATTAATACTACCCATAAAAATACACATCCAGATTAGGGTGTACGATTATTCGCCTTCTTCGAAAGCCGGTTACACCCCACTAAATATAAAAAACTGCTTTTAACCGGTTAGGAAAAAACGAGTCAATCACCCTAATAAATACATCACACTACTGCTTGTAAATTATAGATGTTGGTCAACTCATATCTCTCGTGATTGCTGCATTTTCCTACGAGCATATGCCAGGAGTGCGACAAAATGTATAACTTTTAGTTAACTAGAAAAAGCTTACTTGAAACTAGTTGAAAAGTAATGTGCGTGTCATGCAGACATAGTCGGCAGTTTTTTTGAATACCTTTCTTTTCTGCACTTCAAAGATACTTTTTCGAATTCAGACAAAAAAAAATGAAGATCGAAATTTTATATTATCATTTTGATGTTATGTTTGACGGAATTCGAATTGAAAACAAAATTTTTTTTTTAATAAAACTTTATACCCAAAAGTAGTTAGTTGACATCTAATGCAGAGGTAACCGCCTTTGACTCTTTCGCGGTTAGCTATCCTCTAAAGAAAATATACAGATAATGGTGACCCTTAGTTCCTTCCTAATAAACTACAAGTTAACTTATAGTTAGATATATTTCCGGCGCGATTGTGAAAATGTATTGATATTTTCTAACAGACCAATTGTGGCAACTGTCGTTCGACCACCACCACAGTCTTTCGAAAGGCAATTGTCATTTCTGGCAACCATCGTGAATGCTCTTCGTTACCTTTCACAAGACTAACTGAAATATCTGTTAACGTTTTTCCGTTTATCTATAAGCAATAAGTTTTATATACATTAAATTAAAAAGAAATTGTTGTTCTTATTAAAGCTAAATAACTAAAAATGGAGGGAAAAAAATAATTTAAAAAAGAAACAGTAAATTACGTTAAAAATTAAAAAATTTAAAGAAAACTAAATTTATAAAATATTAATTAATAAGAGAAATAATAAATGAAAACAGCTCCTAAAAAATAAATTAAATAAAAGTAAATATTTTTTTTTTTAAATTACATATATACATAATCTAAAAAGTAAGAAAAAAAATAAAACAAATCAAATGTTTTAAAAGTGAAACGAAAATAGAAAAATATATATTTTTTAAACAATAAAATCTTAAGATTAAAAAAAAATAACAAAAACAAATAGGTAAAAAAAGAAAAAAATGCTTTTAAAAATTAAATGAAGTAAAAACTTAATATTTTAAAACAATAGTCTAAAAATAAAATTAAAACAAGAAAAAAATAACAAGTTTCTAAAAAATAGAAAACTAAAATATATATACCCATATACATTAGAGTGGTCAAAAAAAATTTTACGAGACAGGGTTGGGGGCACCCGCCAAAATTTTTCCTCTCCCCAAAAGAGCTGCTGGCACCAAACTCCACGTTTCTAAGTAAGTAAGTTGATACAATGGCCCTTGGGTAGAACATTGGATATTCATGCGTACTATAGGAATAGTAAGGATCAAAAATGAAATCTATCCCTCACCAATATTTTAATTATACCTATTCATAAGCCGCTCGAAGACGGTGGGCAGCCGGGTGCAACTTAACATTGCCCTTACATTATCCTGTCATTAACTGACTGACGTCACTCTTCTTGTGTGTGCTCTCCTCCTTGCATTGCCACTCTAATTTTGGCTCTACAACCGGCGCGTTCTACGGCAAAATACTCATAAAACTCGTAAATCTTTATTCACGTAATTTACCCTTCGACTTTCATATTTTTAGCGAAACTTCTACAAAAATCGAAATGTGATTCTTGTGTGTACGAAATTTTTTTGAATTAATTTAAGATGAATATGAAATGAAGGGAACAAAATGGTAAACAAATTGGGGAAAATTAATTATGTGACGGCAGACGCTATTTTATAATTCCATAATTTAGTACCTTAAGCCGTTTAGTAAAGTAAGAGCAGAAATTTAAAATAATATAACATCTTTAATATCATTTGAATATGTTTATTTATGTATACAAATTTGGGATGACTCACAGGTATAAACTGTATACATATAAAAATGCGAATTTGGATCAAGCAAGCAACAAATTTTTGTACCTCATGCTAAGGTCAGGAAAAATATCCGTTTCAGGGATAATGGACTTTATGAGAAGCCTTTTCATGACGAAAATACACTTGAAGGTTTGGCATCGCTTGCAGAGGGGCGACCGGTGTTAGAAAAAAACGTTTTCTATTTTAGATGTTGCCTAGACCAGGTCGTACGTAGTGGTGGTACGCACCTCTAACAACTCAGCCACAGTGGCTTTACAATCTTCACAACATCGCTTAGTATACTGATTATGTATGTATTTTGTCATTTGACCTCTTCAAGCAACAAAATTTGGCTTTCTAATGCAACTAAATAATTGTCAATGTTTCACGAAAATTGCATGCAACTAAATTAGTTGCGCCAATATTTGTAGAAAGGAAATATAAATAATGACAGCTGTCCCCAAAAGATTCTTCCATCAGCTGGCTACTTTGCCTGCCGCCTGTTTGCCCCGGGCGACCGCCTCACCACTGGCAGCGCACTCAACTCAAGTTCAGACAAGCAGTCAGTGCGCAAATATGTATCAGCCAGCAGCTCTCGCAACAATTTGTCTGCTTTTGTGTCCTCCACTTTGTGTCTGCTTTAAAGACAACGAACGCTCAGCTGAAGCGATTCACACAAACCAATGCTCGCTCATGTACTATGTATATACATATCATCAACGGGATACCCGCACCAGACATATCCTCAATTTGGCAACTGGGCTGTCGTCAAGCTGCAACATCAACACCACCACCACCACAGCTACAGCCCACCCACCACTTGCCTGTCCTGCCGGGCTGGGCTGCCTGCCTCAAATTAATTTTTACGAGGACACAATCAAAAAGCTCTTCACAAAAAATCTGACGTTGCAAATTTGGTTTTTCGAGCGTTTATTATTATACTTTTTATGTGTGAGTGCATCGATACACACACACACACACACGCGCGTCCGTCCATGTGCATGAACACTCATGCAACTGCAGTCAAACCGACCCAGTGCAGCATTGCAAACCCATAGCTTTTAGTTTCACGTTGCAGGAAAGGTCGGAAGTGTGCTGCAAGACGGTGGTTTCGGCTGGG